TGTCATGTGGGTGTACGGAGTGTTAAAAATCGATCAAAATTGGACTATACCAATCGATAGAGAATCGCGTGGGATGTGTTTTGGACCTATAAATTTTTTTTTTTTTTTTTTTTTTTAAGAAAGTAAAATATAATAAATTAATGTCTCGATGAGATCATACTTACGGTTAGCACAAGGCTTCTCGTTACGGAGAAGAACTTCATTCCCGTCAAGCTTATATTATCTGTTGTTACTTGCGTCAAAAATCTAGAGACCTGCGCAACATTATGCAAAAACTTATGTACAAATAGACAAAGAATTAAGAAAATTAATTTTTAAATAGCATGCTACTATTTCCTTTTATTAACTAATATCATACGTAATTTCTTAAATCTCTCTAAATATTTCTTGAGAGAGAAAAAGAGATCACATAAGAGAAAATTTTTCTTTATACTAAAATATTTCTTTAATTTATGAATAATGTTTGAAGACTGCTATCAATTATGGATTAATGATTAAAATTATAACAATATTTTGTGACAAACCTCGTTACTGTAACTAGAACCAGAGACACTGTACAAAATCGGTGCTGGCAAAAGAGACTCGTCGTGAACGGAAGCCACATACAAAGATACCGCCATTGTTCTTGCTAGTAAAAAGCCGAAGGAGTAGCAATAGTAGATCTTCCGCACAATACCGCGTATTGGGCTGTTAAAAAAATGAGCACACAACTTTATCCAAACTTATCCGAAATTTTTTTGCCGTAAATTCCATCTTTTAAAGGCATCTTATATTAAACGAAATTAATATTAGCACAGAAGCACGGTAACAATTATAAATAGACATAAATATAAGTGAAAATTTTTAGATTAGTTTTTAGAAAAGACTTTCTGTTCAGAAAAAAAACAGATTTTACGTAAACGTAAAAATATATAAGCAATATTAAAATAGTATATGTTAGATATACTTGAACGAAAACAGCAGTTGGATGCAGATAAAATATAGATCGGTAGCGAAAGACAGAAGCACGATGCACGAAATGTGAGAATCCACTCTGCGTGTCAGAGTCGCCAAATGATTATAGTCATTCCTTGCTTCAGCCCACCACCACTCCGGCATGGCCTTAACAACAATATGATGTTAAATTGTTAATAGCAATGAAAGTTGTTAATATTAATAAAAGTAAAAATTTCAAAATGTAATCGATTTTTCTCGCAAATAAGTTTATAATATTGCATGTTACTTACATTAATAAAAATATAATATATACGACGATATCGTGTATAAAAAATATAGATGTTATTAACGTTTTCATAAAAGAAAATAAATATTGTTTATTATATTTCTCATATACTTTACCTTTCCTCGTATCGAATAGAGACGACTATTCAATTGTCTGAATTGACCTGCCAGAGCTATACTAATTAGAATAAGAAATAGATCGACAAAGTTCCATGAAAATGTACTAAGGATATTTATAGTTTCGACCAGGATTCCCTTCCAGAGACTGTAGGGCGTTTTTGAGAAGATCTATACAAAATTTATGTATAAAATATAAAAGACCTGTATAAAATTAAGACTCAATAATATTATACACCTTAACCTTAAGTTAATGATAATTGAGTTCACTAATCGCTTTTTATGCAGCTTTAAAGAATCTTTTTTTTCAGTTTATTATAATATACAAATTAAAATTAAAAGATTTTAATGCATTTATTTAAAAATATATATATTTTATATAATATATATTTATCATATTACCTGAGGGAAAGCGTTTTGAAAGTAAATACCGATGATATCTGTATCGCCGCGATAGTTTGCACATTCTACCGCATTGATGTATGCAGAAACCACAGAAGCGCTATGTTCCACTATTTATAAAAATATTCGATACAACATTTACTATATAATAATACAATATTTATCTTAACTAACTTTGACATTTGACGCCAAGTAAACATATAAATGTAATTTATTAACAAGATATTCGGCGATAATGCACGAAAACATTTCAATAAATAAGGTAATTTTATTTACAATAGATAAATTATCTTGATATCAATAATAATAATCGCAAAATTATATCAATGATAATTAAAAGTGACTATGCATAATCCTTATTTTTTTTACCAGAGTAGTACTCACCTAATGCAAGCAACATGACAACAACAGTTACGATTTTGAAACGAGTTGCGAGAGTGGTCTTCGAAATTTTTCGATATCTGGAAGCGAGTTCGCGCTCAAGTTTCTCCCAAGTTAACGCCAAGCAAGGCCACTGCCATGCCAATCGTACGAACAGGACGGCAGTCACAAGGCTCGTAATGTAGAAAACAAAGGTCGCTGATATTCGGGACAAATGTCACTTTTAAAAATGGCTCAACGAAGGCAATGTGTATGGCAGTTCTCATCAAAACTATTACTTACTCATTGACTTACTCATTGACTTACTCGTTTTGGTAGAACTTGCCCCTGTAGAGAGCATCCACAAAATATTGTAAACTGACATGAGGAACACTGTCAGGAAAACAATTATCGTATAGAGAATCTTCGGACTTCGCCATGTAAATCTGTGAGACATTCAGAACACATAAGACGCGCAAAATTCGCAATCGAGAGACACAAAAATAGAAACACAATGCTAAAATCGAGAAAATTAAAATCACACACTGGGTCCTCAAAATAAATATTTCCTAAACAATTTAATTATACACTGGCACAACGTTTATTTCTATCTACCGAAGATACGAAGCGTCCGATTTATTGACACCGCACACCGGAAACATGGAAAAATATTGGGCCAACATAATAATCGGCCTTATCGATGCGTACAGACTATCAGTAGAAGGGTTGAAGGTCTGCGATGGGGGTACAACAGTCGCCAGCACTACAAATCGCGGCGATTAATAAAATAATCCACAAGTATTAAAATAAATCACGAACGGTTAATGCAAAATAAATCTGGAGCCGAACTTACTTTCAGGTGCCACCATGTCGTTCTTTATAGGATCGAACCTACGCAGGTTATTCTTGGGCGATCTGAAAAGAATTGTTCTTACACTTTGGACATATCATTTATCGATCGCATCGCGAAATCGAATAATCGACATTCGAGATCACCCAAGTATATTTTTAAAAACAAGTCGATTTATACATAAGGCATAAATAAAAATGAAACATACTCTTTCAATCTCTCTTGGTAGTGAATTAAGAGCGCAATCTTATTGTCTCTTAACTAAAAATCTGTATTAAAAATTGTAAATGAAAACCTGTATATAAAATTGACAGACGTTTAAATCTATAATTTAACATTGAAAAAATATAAATATAATTTATCCAAATCTGTTGTGAGAAAATTTTCTCCAACATTGCAACAGATTTTAACAGACAAATATGAGTTTTGCTTCTTCTCCCTTAGTTTAATTATGGTTCATTCTGATATCAAATCCATGCATCACAATTTTTTTTAACTTTTCTCTCAGTTTAGGAATTTTTTATCACTCGCTTTCGAAGACACACCTTACACAAGGCACGCTGCGACTAACGTTGTGTACGCTACACGATCGCATGACGGACAGAAGACAGAACTCGTTATTTCTAAGCTTTATCATACAGCGAAGTGACAGGGCGGAGGGCGCTTTATAAACATCGAAGACTCAATAAATGTCCACTTCGGACAGCCAGTGGAAACTCGAGACTGCTGAGACCTCGACGACGAGGCGCGAGAGATTCGCGCGCAAAGAGGGAAAAAATGCGCCTCCGAGAAAAGAATCCGACGTCATCGTGATACACTGTGATAAAAGGGGCGATTAAGTTTATAATTCGTTGTTCCAAAAACATATTTAATTTTCAAGAATTTTAGGAAACTAATTTTCTCTTTTGAATAACTATTAAATTAAATTTATAGAAAACTTTGAAAAATTTATTGCAAAAAGTAATTTTTATTTAATCTTTTCCGATATCTTTAATGATTTCAAAGATATTAAAATATAAACCCATTTAAAGAAAATTTAAACAATCTTTCTATCTTTGAAAAGTTCAATTTTTAAAATAACATTTTTTGATAATAACGCAAGTTAATTATAAATTTACAATAAGAAAATTACTTTGTTTGCATAAAATTTTAAAATTTTATGGTAAGTATATTATTCAACTTGCCAGTTACACTTCCATCTCTCAAATATTATATAAAGTACTTCGTTTACTCATTACTAAATAAAAATAACTTTTCTCTTCCATCTTCTAATTCTATTTTCGATGTTATATTAATCCTGCGCGTATTTTATAGAAAAATAAGTTTAAAATATTTTGCATAAACTTTCATATTTGTCGTAAAGTAATGTAGCGGAAACACGCACAAAACACTCGTGACACAATCCTCTAAATAATTAGTTTGATGTCATCTGTACAGTAATCAATCACTTCAGACTACGGAATATGTAAAAATCAATTTATGAGTTAAAGCGAAAAATTCTCGACACGCAGAACTTGTGTAATAGCTCGAGATCATTTAAATCATGCAATATTTATCCGCTAGCAAAAAATTGCAAAGAAAAAGTAACATATACATAACAATATTCATAAATTCTGCAGAAAAATGACAAAATGTTTAATTTACCTCTGTCAGGGGAAACCTCAAAAAATCTGTATAATAATGTTAAAATTAAAAAAACAGTAAAACTGCATAAAAGGTAACACAATTCCAATTTTAATGCCATTTAAATATGTTATAGGGAAGATTCTTCTGAGTAATTCCCCGCAAGAAATAAGTGGGGGACGGCATTAATTTAGGAGATATAACAAATTAAAGTTTCAAAGTTTTAATGCTTTTTCTCAGGTATTATAAAGTAATATTAGGAAGAGTGATGTTTGTGTACATTGTATTTGTTGTAGAGATATGGAAAAAGTGTTTGTTTACATTTACGGGATAGATACACGGTCATGGATATTTTATCAATAATATTTCATCTATTTCTCGCAGTTCGTTAATAGCTTTCAATATACAACTATAAATTTGTGAGTTTTGTCTTGAAAAATATTATTTATTGAATGCGTGGGAGGGGAAGGGGCTCTGTCCTCTCCTTCTGCACCCCCGCCTTAATATAAATATCTAACTTAACCCAACCCAACTTTACTTTTGAAATTAAAAATAGGTTTGGGTTAGAATTTTTTCGGGGTGGGGGAGTGCAGGGGGAGGAGCCCCTAAATGTCATAAACAGTTTTTTCTTTAATAAAAAAATAAATTATACAGCATACTTTAACGTCAAATTTCAATTTATTATATCTTCTAAACCAATGCCATCTCCCACTTATTTCTTGCCGGGAATTACTCAGAAAAACCTCCCCTACAACATATTTAACTGGCGATAAAATCGGAGGTGTGTTATCTTTTATGCAGTTTTATCAAAAAAACTATTATGCAAATAGTCACATAAAGTTTGTGTGTGTAATAAGAATATTTGTCACAACTAATTTCGGAACAAGTTTAATCGCACATTGCACGATTATTAGCCGAGAATGCTCTGTCGTTAAATTGAAATGTTTGCACACAGCAGTCTTTGTTAGAGAAGGCGTTTATTTGGGAATCATAATTGGTAAATCGATTTTTATTATATAGAGTGCTCGTTCACTCAGTCTTGCCTTCCCTAAGCATTTCATCTCTATATTGCTACATTTTTTCTATTTATTAAATTAAATAAAATTGATCAAAGTAGTTCCAACTTAATGAAAAAGTATATAGATCAAATATCATATTTGTAAATGTGTCTAACAATAAATATTGAGAGAAAGTGATGCATATATATAATATCTATTTCTTGTTTATTCTAGTAGTATGATAAAATAACATCTAATTGTGATTCTTAAAAAATTTATAAATATATATTAACATAAAATATAAAAATGTATTACACAAAATGTTGATATTTAACTTACTGAACATTAATCATAACAGGATGCCAAGAGTTTGCAGGGTTCCATCGTGGATAAGGCATTTCAAAGACATTTCTTTTATCTTCGCTCATCTCTGTTTTGTTATGTTATAATTTTCTCAACAATAGACATTGCACGATTGAGAGTTTTTTTGCATTTTCCTCAAATCAAGTCAGCAAATATTTCTAGAAATTTCAACAAAAAATATGGTTAAAAGATTGATAAAAATATCCTTTCACATATAAATAAATGAAAAATAGAATCATGTAATTCGGGAAGCAATCAAATGGTATATCACAAAAATTGATTAAAAATTTTTACTCATTTGCTATAAAGTAAAAATTTTTGCAAAAGATTGGTAAATTGGAAAAAATTGGCAGAAAGTCGTTCTGCGAAATCGAAAATTCCCAACTCCTAAGAAACATTAAAAAGTTTTTTAAACTAGCCTTCACACATTTGCCGCTTTCAAATTAAAGGCGTGTAAAAACGAATAACTATATGCCAATTTTTAAAAATTATATAAACTTTCTTTTTTTATTTTATGAGAATTAAAGCTATATATCATTTTTGCGAATGCTCTAAATTTTACCAAATAAAATCTTATCGATCACTTAATTCACGTGTCTTTTGCAAGGCGATAGCGTAATACGTAATCGGAGAATACTTTAGTATGCGGAAGATAGAACAATGAAGCGCGTGTATGTCGCAAAACAATGTCGTCTGTCGCAGTACGCGTTTGGATGTACACTGACAGTCGTGGAGGAAACCACTATAACTTATGCGCTTATTGTTTCTATCCCGCGTCTAATCTTTGCTTGCATAGGCCGGAGAAATAACAGCTTCCCATGTGCGGTTATAACGATTCGCACCTGTGTGTGCGGCGATTTGACACACTTGACACGAACCGCATTCATTGTCACTCGTAATAAAGAGGTACTCAACTCGTGTGCTTGCGCCATTTGCGATTTACATATCTGTAGTATTTTTTGTCTAAAATTTGAATAGATATAATATATTCGTTTCGCAGAGCTATATACCTGACTGTTATTGTCTAAAATATACAACAAATTATTTTTAAAGAAAATTTATAAATTATGGTAATAAATAGCAAATATGAAAAAAAGTTTCCAATTAGATATTTTTTTATATTATATTTTTTTTATATTATCTCACCTAATAAAATAAAAAAATCGTAAGATTAATGTTCTAGATATGAAATTTATATGAGACAAAAATAAAATTTAGTGTCGAGTAAATTTATTTAACGCTAATTATGCGCGTTGAGAACATGAGGCTTTAGATAAAAACTATTTATCATCGGCAATGATAACCGCTTCAAATATACCGAACACATCACCTGCCAACTCTCAGGATTAAACGCATATGAATTGCGAGTTTTTGTGCTGTTTACTCAATGAGCTTAACGAGCTATTACATTTATATATATATATAAAATGAAAGTATACATCCATCATTCCTTTCATCCTCACCTATCAAGAATATACGAGCTCGCATAGCTGAGATAAGAACTCAATGTCGACCGCAATTCTGATACGCGAAATCTCTAAATAACTGATATATCCAACTAATCTTGACTGCAGGTAAAAATATTATGATCCGCAACGTATACATTAAATATGATTACTTGCAAATTCTATTTATGACATTTACAAGGATACATTTGAAAAACTGGATTTATTAATCAATTATTAAGATTGGCGAAGAATAACTATTATATAACTACAGTTATTTAATTAATAAATAAATCTATAAATTAATTAGATTAAAATAACATTAAGAAATTTGCCGGTTTATGCAAACGTTAAAAAGTCAAATTCATTAGTCAAATTTAATATGGGACTTCTTTTTATATGAGATGTATATTTATAGATGTGTTTGGTATAATAATAGATTCAGATTTTGTAAATATGTACGTTTAGAACATATTTATGCGACAATATTTAAACTACGGAAGAAATAATCGCGTATTAATAATTAGGCTGCCGCCACTTTTTGCGGGTAAGTAATGTTGAACTAGTATCATTAAAATGAATCACTCTGTGCTCTTTTGTGTGTATACATGTGATAGATCCATTTCATCTTTATTCCAGTCCCTCATTGGCATTTTCCGGGACGATGCACGTGTGGACAGTCTTGTCTTCCTGACAAGCTGTGCAAACGGAATTTTTCCAATGTCGCTACACATGTACACATACATACACACCTGCAGTGTTTCCCTGACACGTACTTTTCGCATACAGCAAGTGTATATTGCAACTGGTCTCGCACAGACCGGACCGACGGCCTACTTTAATATCCTCCCTTTATATTATGCGCGCGTATTAATGACATCGGATTGAAAAGAGAATAGAACTATTTAATTTCCATTATAGTTTATTACAGTCTCTCTTAGAATGTTTGATTTCTTTCTCTCAAATATTCATTATCTGAAAATTTTATCCTTTATATCATATAACAATTTCAGTAAAAAAATTATATAAATGTTGCCATCTTTACGATCTGATGCAAACTTTCCCATTTCTATTTTATGTACATCACATTTTATAGAAACTTTTTTATATAAAAATAAATAAATAAATAGAAACATATAAATGCAGCATAATAAAACAATAAACTAAACAATCTGTCACTAAATTTAGTAAAGACTTTATTTGAATAAACAAGTAGAGTTGAGAGTTTCAATACAATATCGCAGTCAAATTTTAGATGATGATCTAAAGATATTTTTAATTCTGATTTCACTGCAGAATTGCAAGAGTTCATTTCAGTAAATGAAATGACTATACAACGAGCTTAAAACACTAATACTTCCCGTCTTACAGGAACAAGGAGGTTACGACGATCAGGTGATGTAAGAAATTTACACGTACGAATCAAAATTGTATTGTGTTCCCACAGAAGTAATGTACACATTGTTTTACAATCGTGTCAATCTTCTCCACGCGCGTACAAGTCCACACAAGAGACACTATACCATTCACGCACAAAGGCCATGAGAATACGCGACTCGATCGTATTCTGGTGTCGCGATCGATCTCTACTATTTTTTTTAACGTTAATCGCAGCGGTATCATAGACCGTTTTATCGACGCATGTATCTGCAATCGCGGGGGCGCGACCTCGCATTATCACGTCAAATCGTTGATATACTCTGAATCATTCGTGTAAAAAAAAAAGAAAAAAAAAATACTAATCACTATCGCTCGAATGAATCAAGTCCATTAAAGCTCGCATTCATATATCTACAAATCCACAATAATGGCCATTATCTCGAAAGCGTAATTACCGCTATTGACTATGAAAAACAGGTACGTGTGAAAAAAAAAACATATCAAATCATTGATACTCAAACCCCTGTTTGTGAAAACACGGAGAGAAATAACGCGCAGTGTTGATTCTTAAATTAAAGCACGCACCTACAATCAAATAACGCGATACGCATTTTTTGATTGGAGAGATCATTATCAATATCGTTTGCCTATCACACGTGTCTCCACTATTCTTAACGTACTTATCGAGAGCTTTATCCGATAATATGACCAAAATACGAAAAGCGGTAAAGCCGCGTCATATATGTATGCTCTCGGATTGGCCTTATCGAGAAAAACAAATACAGGTAAATGTCAATTATTTAATTGTATCAGCAGTTCTTGTCAAAACAGCGTCGCAATAAGTTTCTAAGTTATACAATTATTTTCGACTGCTTCTTTCAATAAATTCGTAAAGATGGATGGTTCGACTTTTTCAAAGACTTGATACATACAAGTCTAAAACCATTTTATTTCATTTAAAGAGATCGTACTATTCTCATCACATATGCTTTATATTAAATCTTTAGCTCTTTTCTAAAACATAATTTTATCCTAATTTTTTTTTTTTTTTAATTCTCCAACATAAAGGATGTGTTCAAGACGGAAACAAAAACAAGATGAAAATCAAACACGATCATATTTAGTGTAAAATCTACTTTAAGAACACGGACTATATGATTACACGTTACAACGCGATACGTGCCTATGTACAGACAGACTTAATCGTACGCTAAAACATATCTTATTCATTGGCTTAATTCACTAGTCATGCTCGTAAAAATCCAGGACAACGTCGAAACGATATCGACTAAAACTCTGAGAGGGAAATATATCACCCTCGAATATCTATGCGTATGTACACATGTCCACTATCATGCGCAATTACACGCTATTAATCGCTTAATTCCATCTGTACAAATATCTAATCGTATATTTCAGCAGCTAGAAACATCTCGGGGTTCGTATATCGCTTCTACAGTTGTACAACGTTAACGAGAAAAGACACTCGTTAGGTAACGAGTACTCTCAAGTTAAACGTTAATGAAATTACGCGACAATATTATATTTCATAATTAAATATTACAAGCCCTTTCGTAACAGTTTTCGCAATAAATGTATAAAAAAAGTTGTGACTCAAATGACCGTGACTCTCCTCGGAATTAATTTTAATCGAAATATCGCGCGCGAAAATATTCATCGAAATTGTATTAAAATAATCATGTATCAGGCCTCAAGTATTTTTTCGTTTTGTGAAAGTCTACGATAGAATTTGTTAATGGAGAGATAAACATTTGATCTCGAAAACATAGAAATTCCGACTACGCATTAAATTTTAAAATTCTTTGACTTTTAATTGAAGGACATTTCGAATGAGGACATCGTTCGTTAGAACCCAAATCTTCAACTAAATTAATCAATAAATTTTGGAATTTAATGCGATATAACACGCTGCATATTTCAACGATGTTATAAGTAAGATGAGTACGTAAGTTTTAGGAGAGATGCACAGTTTCTATGATGTATTTCGTACTTGTTTATAATTAATATTCGTATTATCACGTATATTATATTAATAATAACAATATCGATGCCGTTCTCAATTATTTAAAACGTAGTTATCTCGCTGCGTTATATAGGACGAAACTTGTAAAATTTAATAATGACGCAAAGTTTAAACTGGTTCAATGAGACCTTTTTGATGGCACATGTTTTTCATTAGTTCCTTTCTCGCGATATCCATTAATCAATAATCGCATATTAAATAAAAAGGCTTTAAAAAGTAGAAACTTTGTTAAAATTACACTATATATATTATACATATATTACAATATTACTGCATTTTCTTAAACGGTATCATTGTCAATAAAGCCAAAGTCGACTCAAGCGCTACGCATTTAGCGAATTTAACTGCCTCAATATTTTATTTCGCCGATTTTAATGGACAATATTTGATCCAAGCAGAAATACATAATAAAAATTTTCAATTACTCAACAGAGAAAAAGCTGAATATTTGAAATACACTGTACAAATTTAGTTTAGTATTTTTATATTTTATATACAAAAAGAGAAAAAAATTAAATCTTTTGTTTTATTTACTAAATCAAATCCTATAAAATACATAATAAAATTTTCAATTATTTAACAAAGAAGATGCTCAATTACTTATCATTTACCGAATCATAATGTATTTTTCATTTTTATAATCTGAGATCCATAATTTTAGTATCTCACACAAGCTGCTAGGATTTTTTCTGTCTAGCAAAATTAATCTTGTCCATGTTTCTTTATTCAAAAATTGTGAGTCAATCTTACCTTAATAGCAAAAATTATTGGTTTTCTTCAAGAGAAAAGTGCCTTGAAAAATTCACTGCAAGAATAAATTCATTCAAATTTGTAATATTTACTTACAAGATAACAATTAACATAACAAAATAATAAAACTTGTATTTAAAATAAATTTTAGACTTTAAAGACGATCTCTCGCAGTTAAAAATAAACGTTACAATTTAGAATCTTACATTCTTGCATTGAACCCTTCAATTTTAATCTCCTGTCTTCTGGTTTCCTTTGAGCCTAAATTCTATTTTTCTTCCCATTAAATATTAACATGTTTTCGCAAAGATAACGAAATGAGTCATATTCGGTTTGTCATTTACACGCATCAATCGATACATTCTGTCGCTACAACGTGAGTCGAGAAGCATAGATGAGAACTTTGTTTACAGAAACGGTACGCGTTTTCATCATGTTCTCTTCGTCGTCATCGGTGATGCTCGAAAAGGCTCAGTCACGATAGCGAAATTCGCTACGAAGCCTTATGGGCATGTCAGCCATGCTGTTTCGAAGTACCCGGTATGCTTGGATCTTGTCCACTGCTAGAATGATCTGTAACATACGGGGAAATATTCAAGTTTTCTCGGAACACATGTTCCGGAACACAGATGCCTAAAAAATATGCAGCCTCGAAAAATCTAAAAAATATAATATCGTTTTGCGATAAAATTATTATATAAAAAAAATTGCGATGAGCAAAGCATCTTACAATATCTTTGTGAATCATTAAAGCATAAAATTACAATGAGCAGAGCATATTGTAATATTTTTGTAAATCATTAAATTATAGTATATATAGCATAGAACCGAATGATCCAAGAGAAGCAGAGTCACAAATATTTTATATTTTTCTTAATCATTATTTATTATTTACAACTATTTTACAATTCCCTTGATCGAGATCGTGAGCGGTTAAGCAGCGTGAATTAACACCTGTGTCCGTGGACAGCTCCTCAAACCGATCTGACAGATCAGAGAGGCCAGTCTCGGCGTGTCGGCCGAGAATATCCGGTAACGCGTTTCTCCTGCCGGTCCTCCCGGTCGACAGAAACTCCTTAGAGTTATCGCCATGCTCGTAGGTACCGCCTGGAGTGACCGAGCCGCTCGTCGAGTTGCTCGCACTCTTGTCATCGGGCCCGTTCCCGATCTCGTCGGGGCCCATGGGCCCCGCTCGTCTCGGTGTCAGCATCCTCAGCACTGAAAATAAACGGCAATCTTTTCTTCATGCTCTGCAACTGCAGTTTCACAAATTCATTCAAGTGCACATATGATACTCTGCTATTGTTCAAAATCTTCAGTTTATTATTTCATTTAATTCGAATGTTATATTTTAATTAAGAGATACATGCATGTATGTTTAATTTTAGAGGTACATGCATATATAAATAATTAAAAATATTATTCATATTCGTTTGATGTTATTACCTCTTATATTTTGTATATTAACCTTTTCATCGTTATTTCTCTCTGTATATTTGATACAAAAAATATTAAAAAGTAATCATAATATTATATATCAATCAAACGACATTACGCAACTAAATAAGTAATCATAAACAACATTCAACAACAAAATAAAAACGAAAGTATAGAAGAAAAGTGTAGAATAGAAAAAAAACTAGTTATGAGCAGTCTTATAGATAAGCAAGTTAAAGACTAATAATGTTGTTAATTAGATTCAACATAACTTGATAATATTAATTAAGTTTCATAGAATATAGCAATCTACAAAATCCGGTGTTAATCAAGTTTCACAGAATATAGCAATCATCAATTTGGTCGACATCGAAAGACTTGAGATATGATGTAATAGAATTAATTGAGATTTGTAGCGCTAATTATACATATAGTAAATTTTAATGAATTTGGTTGTGTATGTATCACAAATGTGCGTGTGTGTGTGTGTGTGTGTGTATGTGTACTGAAATATATACAGGGTGCGGCATTTATAGTGACGCGGGCATATTTTTCGGAAACGAAGTAAGATATCAAAAAATGTTTCAGACAAAAGTTGCATGGTTTCGAGGGGGACACATGATAAAAATATGGATTTGACCATAAGTGGTCTTTTCAAGGTGAGGTCAACGTGGTCGATGTTTTCTTAAAAGGAACTCCCCATTTTTTATTACATATTCTTATAGCTTATCCCGAGAGCTTTCCAAAACACGCAATTAATTAAGATTCTTTAATAATTATGTTTCCATAGTTTAACTATCTATTCTCACAAATCGTTGTATTAAATAAATTATATATATATATATATATATATATACATACAGTAATATTAAGTTATGTGATGATATAAAGATCTTTTCTTATACGCGACGCATTAATTTATTTTTAATTTGTACATATACATTGTTTTGTAAATTATAATTTCGAAAAAAATAGATTATTCTTACGATAAATGCGCGTTGGAAGGTGTTACAATGAATTTAATATCGTTTCCAGGTCTTGTGCATATTTTTGCATTTCTCTCCCACATCATAACATGGTAGCTTAACTCGTTTATACATATCGTACTTACATCGAGGCATTTTAATTATGTTTCGCGCTTTATGGCATAAGCACATATGAGATCGACCATAAGAAAACACAATATTACACGATTAGAGAGTATAGAATATTTAATAGCTTTAAGTTGTAATTATTGTATATTGAATGATTTGCGAATAACGAGGAAACATTTCAGTATGTCTATAATACAATGTTTAATTCAAGGAGTATTAAAACTTTTGGGTTTATCGAAAATTGTAATATCCAAATTATTAATTTATATTTTCACATGCTTCGAAAAAGGAGATTCTTAGTTTTCATAATTTTTTTTTTTGTAACAAACCCTTTCTCCCTACATAAATGTACAAAAAATTTAATTTTAAATATTTTAATCTTTATGCTAAAAAATTCTATCTATTAAAAAAATTTGAATAAAAGAAAAAAATCAATCAATATCGCGGTGCATGAGATCATGCATCTCTATTTTACGGAGTTGTGAATTAATTCTCCACTCACCCGTATCTAAACTCTCCATCGATCCGAAAAATTTCGCCAAAAGTCGACGCGAGTTCGAGTGTCTACAGGTTTACACGATGGCGAACAACTAATCTAAAACGTTACCTTCTTCGTGAAATGACAGATATCCGCCGTCGAGAACTTTATCAGTCTCCTCACGAGGTTTGCGTATCGGAACGTAACCCATATCTACGAGATTCGGAAGCCGTGAGCCGCGATAAGCCGATTGTGTTACAACGATGGTGATCGCGAGGTCCACTGTGCGAGACTACTACTTCGAAAAGAAGAACGACAGAAGAAAAGCCCGAAATGCTGACATTTAATCGCTAATAACGTCAGTATGTACACAGCTGACGATGTGGATATACAAATATATATATAAGGTGTACCGAAACTATTGTCGAAACTATCTTACCTGCAGATACATCGATTAATTTGGAGTTGATATAATGAAAACTTGAATGACAAAAACATGACCATTTTACATAACTTTTCCATTTCTTCAATATTATAAATACTTTGATAACTGAACTATAAAGATTTTTCATTGAAACCTTTATTTGCAATTAATGGAAAGAGAAAATATCATTGTTTATTAACAGTTTGATAACTTCTAATTCTTAATTTCTAAATTTTTATAGACTTATGACTAAAATTATTAATATGTCGAAAGATTATCTTGCAGAACTCGTCGAAAATTTTCAAATGAAAGAAAAAGCAATAATTCTGAGACATTGTATGTGTAAAAATACATTCATCTTTATATTACTTGTTGAAATATCATAAACATCGAAATAATATCGCGTATAAAATCATCAAAATCATATTTGTTTCCCTGTTACTTTATTGCACCGCAATTTGCATCTAAAGTGCATAATTTACACAAATATCTTATATTACGCAAGTATATGTATAAAAAATAATTACAAATGTAGAAAGCATCGATAAAATACGTCGCGGATTTCAGAAAAATATTAAAAAACAAAAAAATATAAAAAAAAATAATGTTCAATTTGTGTTATCCAATGCGTGCAAATTTTCCATATTAATAAACATAAATTACAAAAGAAGATTTAATTAAAATTTGTTTACATGCGCTACGTTTAAAAAAAACAACAATAAATTTTACAAAGAAATAATAAAAAATGTTTTGTGCCATCAATGCAGTTAGTTATTTTTCCGAATTGTAACGCGAGCTTAAAATATTTTCTATCTTCATATGAAAATAAAAACTATAAATATGATGTATTTATGTCGGAATACTAGCGCAAAATAAATTATTTCGTACAGTGACATAGATTTCAAAAGGGAGGCTATCTAATCTAATTGCTCGGAGAAATACGCTACGGCTCAAGTAGATATATATAGCTGCTGCAATTAGAACAATACATACGTTCGGCTGGGAAATACGCATAACATAACAGGAATTTAATGAAGTTAATGCAGATAGCATCACATGAAAATCGATAAACCATCATCGCAGACTCTCGTTTTATCGTGAGACTCGCCTTATCTCGTTTCACCTATTTCAATAAAGATTACATTGCAAGAACATTAGATATACATTACGTAACGTAACTTTACACAGAAAATATTGTATATATTATATAATATATACATACTACATATTAATACATATTAATTTTATTTACAAATCACCATTTACTAATAATTAAACTGATGTATTTATTACAATTAGTGATTTATTAGCGGCGTATTATATCACATATAACATTTTTCTACACCATTTTTTTAAAGATGTTATTGTCGCTTATTCAATTTTAGGCTCAATTTGCAAGATGTATCGATTCTGCCGCGGAATTATTTCCGAGTTCACACAAAAGATTGCCTCGCAGAATGATTCATGAAAGTCGTTAGAACGAAAAATTAGTCGAAATGTTAGAGCACGAGACGTCAAGAGGTTAGTTAAATTAATCATAATGAGAGCACGATATGAACAAACGATACCTTGTATACGTGTAAGATGTTTTCTCCGATATCCTTTGCGCGACGTATAACCGGAAATGGTAAGGCAATCTCCGGTCGCAGTGAAGAATCTCCGCCGCGAGGAACCGCCATCATCAGGCATCACTTTGCGCAGCTTCATCTAATCGGACGTTTTTATCCTGTTATAGACTATTCCTATCCAGCGGAGATGAATTAAATCTGGACGATTTTTTTAATGTTCTATCACGCGCGCGAGCCCAGCTCGCGTGCCAAGATTTATCGAGTCTACGGAAAAATATTCTTTCGTTCTTTTCTGCGCAAAAATAAACCGTTTCCCGGAAGCTACAATAGATTTCAATGACTCATTTCCTATATAAATTCTGATTATGTTTTGAGAAATAAAGAGTCTTTTATTTAAAAGTTATCTTGTTCAAAAATTTGAACTAAGATTAAAAATAATTTTGAAATAAATATATATTTACAGGATGTATATAATGTATAAGTTCAAAAAGGAAACAATCTAGGAATATATATAACATATTTTTAGAAAATCTAAATGTCTGAAAGATTATTAGTATAAAAGACTGATCCTCTCGCGTAGTTTAATCATGTTCCTCGAATTTTTATAGTTTTTTGCTAATAACAATAGATTCGCAAAATGATTACGATTAATTGCAATTAGTGCATATCTTTATGTAAAATAAGTAAAATTAAATTTTTGCATCGTGAACGAGACAAAATATTTTCACAGACTTAGCGTCGTTGAATATCTCATCTGAGTCACGCGCGTCTTGAAAATTTGTGTGATTAGTTCTTTGGTTTATCTTTAAATTTCAAAGTTTAAAATATTTTGTTAAATCATAAATTTGCACCCACATGGACGCAGGATATATTTCCATAAACCATCATACCGTCGTGCACATCCAACCTTGAAAGATAATATTAGTCGTAGCAATACACATATGTCGAGCAAATGCGAGTGAAATACATAGACAATCGCATTGGTGCTTTATACTCATTCATGATTCATGGCACCCACACGAAGCGTTCAATATACATGATAAAACTGTTTACATTGTCAAAGCTCAGAACACCGGCGGAAGAGAGGAGGAAAATAACGAAGAGAGTTGAACAACACAAATGAAAGAGCTAAACACATTGTCGTCTGCATCAAGATAATGACGCAATAACAAAAGGCAACGAACGATAAGTTTGACGCTTTCATAATAATTTCAGATAAATTTCTTCAAAGAGAGAATTTCCGGAATGACCTAAGATAGATTTTTCGAGATATCCGCAATCATAAGAATTTCTTCTTGCAAGAAGTAAGAAATTATCATAGTTTTGTAAAAGATAATTATCTCGAGAACTTTGATATACAGAGCTCAATTAGAAAAGTTCTAATACTTTAGAGAAAAAAATTTGTTTACACATTTATCATCAACGTTTCTTTGAGGAAATTCTCTCAATCATAGTTTCAATTTTCAAGTTTTAACTTTAAGTTTTCTTCTAATTTTTTCTCATATTTGTCAAAGAATACAGATTCTAATAAAGTATTGATGTTTCATTATAAAAGAAAAAATTATATAATATATATATCTTGTATAATAAACATAAATTTTTAAAAGATTGGAAAGGAAATTACATAAAATTAAATAATAAATTTGTGGTAAAAATTCTCCGCGCAGAAAATAATATTTTATACAATGCTCATAAAGCAAATATTTATGGGTTAATATGCGCAATTTGAAACAATTGTATAATATATTGACAGTTTTGCATACGAACATACGTTCACTCTATATTCAACCAATTAAATATATACCATATCCTAAAGAAGAAGCCTAAGAAGAATATAGTCTCCTAAAAAAGAAAGAAGATGATGCATCACGAGGAAAAACCACTGACGCAAATCAATCTTCCGCTTCCAATTCATAGCAAGCGTTTGCTTACATAAGCAAGCAGTGGTCCTTTCGGTATTTAAACTTATTATAGCGCAATGATAAAAATAAATATTAACGAGACTTATGTGAAAAATCTCGCTTTCATATCTTATTGTTAATAAATTTTATACAATGACGCAAATTTGTAATTATTCATGAATAATATTTACATTATTCGGAAATTTAAATCTTTAAAAGAGAATAAAACTTCTCTGCTCAAAAAATTATTAAAATATATAATATCCCAAATATATGTGAAAAAAGAGAGAGAGAGAGATATATATATATATATTTTAAATATATTTATATTAATAGCACGCGCGCGCACACACACACACACACAAGCAGTAATAAAACATTATATTGACAAAAATATCAGATCTTATATTTCTATTTGTAAAATAGAAAAATAAAACCGCAAGTATTTTTCTATTTTACATGAAATATTGTTTGAAACAATTCGTAAATATAGTTTATCTAATAATTTACTTTAAAATAGTTTGCGGTATTGTTAGGGAGATTAAATGCAAATCTGAGGTTTTAATTGCATTGATTTCCATTTTGTTGCCTCTAACGACATCCCTGGAAGAACTCGGCGTTGAAACAAAAAGAATATATATGGGTGTACTGAAGACTTATCGCAATAAAACAATCTGCTAGAATAAAGAATTGTACGTCACATCATATGCACCAACGTCCTCGATATAGCATGTCTTATTTAGTTACCGATACGAAATCAAATTAAGACCTAGTCATTTCAGCGAAATCAGATGACGTAAAAGACGATTAACCATTAATTTTTTCTCACAATATACGTCGAAAAAAGACAAGTTTTTTTCGAACTCCACATATATCAAATTTTGTTTAGGAGTTAAAAACAAATTACCGGTTTCATAAATATTTTTTTACAAAAATGACATCTATATTTCAATGTATAATATAAAAAAATTAAAACATGGTTCTCCGCTTTTGATGTCATAATTCACTATGATTTTCAGAGCTTCAACAATAATAAAAAAATTGCACAAAAACTTATTTTTCAAATTAATTTTAATTACCTTTACCATCGTTTTCGATCAGAGATATAAAAGCTCTTTTGACGTTCAGCTTTCTTCGATCATTTACCTACATTTTCGAAACAAGGTCTGTCATTCGAACAAATGTGAAGAAAGGTGCAAGTATATCGGCTATTATTAGTGGGTCAGGTGGGTGCTTTGCATGATATATGTATTTTCTTCGCAACGAGGGAGCAGAGAGCAAGCACGAAGTGCCGCTACTCAAAAGAGAGCCGTTGTATAGATAATTGGCGAATCGACCCTTTGTTTACGAATCGTATATATAAAGTCACGTAATCGAAGAAAGCCCTTCTGTATTAATTGAAACCTTAATGCGTAGGTGAAAAATAAAGTCATTTATAATCGTTAATACTATTTACAATAGTAATGTAACAATACAAATGCAGTGATTCGGCTTTTATACGTTTTGTATAAAATTAATTTAATTAAAAGGTTTTTTTTTTTTAATACGTGTTAATAAGAATTTCTTACAACTCTATTTCGGTAAATTTAGGACGCATGCTGACATAATGTTGAAAAGTCTTCAATTACATGCGATATTGTATTATATACTTATATAAAAAAAATAAATAAATATTATTCCAATAGAGCTCGGTTTAGGCTTCTACTATGCACTTTTTTTTATTTTTTTACAAACTTTACTATTTGCTTCATACATTTTTTTCTTAAGTATAAGCTTTTCGAGTGTATCTATTTCATCGTGATGTTAAATTAGCTCGAATACATACTCCGCGAAATAGCATAATGTCATCATGAGTAACATTCTATAAATAGATATATGTAATAATATACGTGAAATTCGATCGAACACAACAGTGTTTATAGAATCAATATTATCCGTCGTCATATCACGGAGAGGCTTGTTCGTCTCCCACATCTAGCATAAAATATGAAAATTTTTTATCAAAATATCTTACAACATACGTAAACGTATTTTCTGTGATATAATAATACCAATTTAATATCATATTATTTTTTTGCGAAATAAATTTTATTTATTGACGGTTATCACGGTTATATTGTCTGTGAGAGATCAAACGGAAGAGAAGAGCTTCAATTTCGACTACTAATGATAGCAATTGACAAGCAGGGAGATAATTACAATCTATGTCACCGGAATAATCAATTCCTTCCTCTTTGACTTCCCGGAATTTTCGTTATTATCCGTATAACATGTACTCATGTTTTCAGTTGCCGATCGATACTCTATGTGACAAAGCGAGAGAGAAAACGAGAAAAGTTACTTCAGATAATAAGATCTAATCTCAGAAAAGTGGAGTATTTAGGAACAGTATATCGATTGTGTCGCGCACGGGTATTTTTAAACAAATCTCATTTTTGGAATTTCGGTCGAGGCTTTAGCTAACGTGTTCTCTCGTCTAGTTATTCAAACTATTAAAAGTTCAGCAAATTGAGATGAAAGCCGCTCTTAATTATGCGACTCGCATAAGGATGAACGAAAACACGATAAGCAACGTTCTGCATATATCATGCAATTTCCATGGAAATTTACGTAATATACATAGGTACATCATAAAATCATAAAGTGGAAAAGATTTCAAAATTTAACGAACATGAAATTAAAAGATCCTAATTTATCCAAAGTTGTACAAGCTAATTTACTAACATAAAAATTTGATCAACAAACATTCGATCATGTATAAATTTCAGTCATATGATGAAATTCATCGATAGCCTAAAATATTTTACGCATCTAGTCGTTTGACCTTGACATATATACATTTAATTTGGTCTCTGGAAAATAATCAAGCAATGAAGCCTGCAAGATCTTATTGACATCTTAAAATGAGTTAGGAAAGGTTTCCCTTTTGATTTCTTAATCACACATATACCCTCGTTCCACTCTTAATGTGTCTCGGCAATTATCATTGCACTTTGACATGTCCATAAATTAGAAAGAAACATAGTAATTATTTTAGTATTATATAATATAGTATTAATATTATAAAACGCCCCTCCCTCCCTTTAGAGCTCTAACATATCATTTTTCTCGCAAATTTTTTAATCCAATTTTGAGCCATTTTTTTCCGGAACAAGAAAGAATATCAAAAAAGTAATAGTCTTCTAACCATGATATAAGTAATTAAAAATAAAGATTTCTCATAAACTAAATTTTAAAAATATAAACAAATAGAATTTATTTAATTTTAAGTAAACTTTACTTTTTTTAATTTTGGGGATTAGTAACAAAAATATTCGTGTAACATAATAGAAAATTGATTTGCGATGAACGATGAGCTCTTTCGATTTAAGAATAAATTGACCATAAAAAAAAATTCACAGATAATTCGCTGAATCTTATTGTTAGACATCCTGTATAATATTAAGTCTCTGATACAGTGATTCTTCTGTGTGTAATATGTATATTAGTTTACTATATAATGTGTTTTCACAACTTCTTAACAAATGCATACAATTTTAAGTTCGATAAACAATAAGAATTACGCGAAGATAAAAAATTCATTTATTAATCTAGCCCGTTCTGCATCATTATGGGAAGCGTACATTCCTGATTGTAAGAATCACTGCTTTAGAGATTGTAAGACGCAATAAATCCTTGGTATAGAGTTGCAAATAAAACGGCGGGGTATGAAAATTACATCAGAAGTCTAAGAATTTCAATCGATTGCTAACTCCAATTCTCGAGCAAGATTGAAAATTAGATGTCTTGAGATATTTGGAGAAAGACAAAATGTGTGTATATGTATGCGTGATATAAGAATACAATTTTCAATAAATTCCAAAATTAACACATTATACATCGGTATATCGATATTTTAACAAGATATAATAATTAAATAGATGAATTCATCAAAAATGGCTTGGACAAAAAACCCCATAATCAAAAAAAATTGTATATAAAATATTTATCTTTAACACAACACAAAATAAATAAAAATAATAATAATAAAAATAAATAAATAAAAAAAAAGTGCAATAAAGTATAAAATAATACATTATGTGTGTTCCAAAAAAGAATGTATACCTATATCACAAAAAAAGAATATATTAGATATTAAATTAATCTATCTTGTGTGTGTACTGTCATAATAATATTATATATTGCATATAATTACATATTATCATCAAGATGCATCGTTAAATTTAATATCCGCGTCTTATATTTCTTTTCTGGTAAATATTTATTGATCCATTTGAAGTTTAACAATATTGACACTCTATAAATATGACGATAAATCATCGACAACTTACCGGGAATATTTTTGATTTCAACTTGATCATAACTTTGCTTTCGACAAAATCTGATCTCAAAGAAATCTGGAGTTCCATTTTATTAGAAAAATAAATCACCGCGGAGAATGCATTTCTCGTTAGAGAAGATTTCGTGGGAGGATGAAGCCATACCTAGTATTGCGCATTTTGTATTTGTGTCACGATTGTCGTCTTCCGTCTCGCGCTCACGTTCTCTCGGAATATTTTTTTTCACGGAAAAAGGATAGAAAAAAATAGAAAAAAAAATTTCGAGAGTAGCAGATAAAAAAAAAAAAAATAAATCTTGCGAGAAATGAAAAGGCGACAATCTTGCAAGCTCCGAATGCGAGAAAAAAAAATAATCGGCGGTGCGACCTTCCTTCCTTCCTTCCCGGCAGTTTATATTACGCAAAGTCGCGTCATTCGTCATCCGCCTCTAGGCTAGGCCATAAATGAAGGCACGCGAAGGAGAGAGCGAGAGAGCGAGCGAGCGAGCGAGCGAGCGATCGAGCCAAGCCGCGCGTACTCTCCGTGACGCGCGCGTGACGTCGGCGCCGATTCACAGACTCACCATCGAGATGTGACGTTGTCGTTACGGCGTGTGCGTCTCTTCCGTGTGCGTTATCGCTGCGACCGCACTGAGACGTGCGTCAACGTCAACACTCAGCTGTAGACGAGTAGCAGGCCGCCGCCGCCGCCTCCTCGCCAGTGATCGCGGTGCCGCCGGCGGGCGGCGAGGAATACGACGTATGTTTACGCGTTGAGGAGGCGTCGTGCGACGCGACGCGACACGTCGCTCTCTTGCAGAGTCCCTTTCTCTCCGTTCGCGCTCAAAAGAATCGATATCTCCGCGCGTACCTTGGTCACGCCAACGGCGACGTGCACGTGCGAAGGATGAACGTCGCACGGCCGTCCTTAATCGGAGCAACACCAGTGGAATGTCCCTCGCAATTACAAGGAAGGCGAACGCGTCCTTGTCGTCGTCATCGTCGAAACACGACGAACGTAACAAACGGCCCGCGCACTTACTGCGGGCTTGCGACTGGAGGAAATAATGGTCGGCGACGCGCGCGACAAAGACGGCGACATCATTTCCCGATTGTCAACATCTGACTTGATCCGTTCTGGTCGGCTGCCGACGGGTCACAGCGTCACAGCGTTGGCGGTCGGCGGCGCACGCTTGTCGGCTGACGCCGCCGAACACCGCCGAACGCCGCCGAAAACGGCCGAGCGCCGACCGGCGGGTATCGAGAGAGACGCAGCATAATACTCATAGATATTTTTTAATTTTAATATAAAAAATATAAACCCTTATGTAAGCTACTTTTTCCTATTGGATTATAAAGCGTGTGAGTGTAAAATAACATTTGAAATGTTAGGTAAAATCTTATTGAAATATTCAGCTGATTTTACGAATCAGATATAAAAGATTTTTTAAATATGTATAGGTATCTCTCTCGCGCGCGATACAGATTTGACGTGACAACATGACATGACACGTGACTCTCTTCGGAATACAAATTCCAGGAAAGTTTTTCTGAATTTACACTCAAAAAAGTGGTATTGCAACCACAGCAAAAATTTTCTGGGTGCGCAAAATTAACTGAGGTACATAAATGATTAGCAAATACTGTGATATCGCATATGTTTCGCATTTAATCGATCTAAGTGACAGAGACAGAATTTATATCTGAACTGTTTGTGAAATTTAGAAAGAATGTTTTTCTGTGGCGCCTATCCATGTTAAGGCCAATCATACTTGTTATAAAGTTTGGCTGTGGTAGACAGAAAAAATTAGCGGCAAGAAACAAATGAATATATAATCCTCACGTCTAACATATTTGTATAACGCGCTCAATCTATCTAGCTCTTTTAAACAATTTTTCTCAATTTTTCGATGCTGCAGTTATAATTGGCAGTTATATTTCTCACAAAGATTGTTCTAGCTGTAGTATCGAAACTCATATTTATCCAATGCAGTGATTAACATTTGGCAATGGGACCTAAATTTTCTAGAAGATATTATTAGAATATTGCTGCTATAAATTCTATATGTAACAGACAATATTCTAAGAGATACAAAAAATAGCGATAAATTTTTGTTGTGACACCTAGAAATCTACCTATATCAGTAAGACATTTTTTTGAGTGTACGCAAGATTTATATAACATTTATACAAGATTTGACACGTGTTGAATCGAATATATCGACTTCGTAAGAGAGCGTGAAATCGCAATGCGAAACAGACATTTTGGCTTGTTTATGCGACTTTTGAACTTCCAAAAAAATTCAAGAAATCCGTCATAAAATAATCTTCGAGAACACCTGCAGCTTCGCGTAGAAATGTCAAGAAAAGTTCGAGAAGAGAGCTCGTAAGTAATAGGTAATAAAAACTATCAGTCACGGCGTGCATATTTGCGGTAATCGTGATTGCTTATACAGTATCCCATTGTTAACTCTTTTTATCGTTGTCGACGCGACGCGAGAAAACGGATCGGTCAGGGCATTAAACGAGTCGCCGAGAAGTTCAACAACACACGCGTCCCGTTTACATACGACACAAAGCGAGACCGCGTTTCATTTAAATAAACGACGTAGCATTTCGCGCGTGTGTCATCAGTATACGATGTGTTGCGCTAATTTTCTTTTAATTATTTCCATTTTTTTTTTTTATCGTCGGGAGATCGATCCGTATTGATATGTATAGATGTATATATACGTATTGGACTATTTATTAATCCTCCGGCCGCGATCTGTTCGTAAAACGGTAAAAAATAATATCTTTGACATATAAAAACATACATATATAAAAATAGATATAATAAGAATATATATATATATGCATTCATAAATGCCATTTAAAATAAAAAATTCACAATTCAATCTACAATTCAATTATACGATCTATTTTAAATAGAACTTTGTATCTAAAATAATTATAGATTATTGATTATAATATTATGCAGAGGGGGTGTTCGGAAAGTAACTAAAATATTTAAAAACAACCTTTTTAAATAAATATTAGCAAATTAATTTTTTTTTCACAAAAGATGTTGAAAGTGATCTCCATGAGCACCCAAAGCCTGAGCCTATTATGCCTCTGATGAAAAAAAAACTAATTTGTTAATAATGTTTGATAAATGTGCTTTTTTTAATTTTTGAAATAGATACATAGTTACTTTCCGAACAGCCTGTAAATTACAAATCGATTTTACAAAAGTGAAATCTAGCAAAATTAAAATAAAATCCCTCGATAATTCTCTTAAATTTTGAAAGAGAGAGTTTTTTCGAAAACAATTTTATTGAATCAATAAAAATCGAAACTACAGTTCACGGATTACAACATATTCAGGCTATAAAGTATTTGCCAAATCGTTACAGCTGTTACGAATAAACGAAATGACGCATATATCGATATAATAATATTGCAAAGAAAAAATATATGACAGTTAAATTCGTTACATAAAGAGAATCGTGATTCAAATTTATCAAATATTCGACAAAACATGTACTATTCTTTATAGATAAAGACATCATAGTGCATGAGTGTTGTCAATATTGTTGCAACGCGAATGTTTGCTAACGAATGCAACTCGCGGAAGTCCCCGACCCAGTGTCATGATTATGATTCGTATGCTTGTCTAGAAGAGTTCTCGAATTACAATTAAGCAGAGTGCATATTCGATCTTTTAGAAATGTTTTATACAAGCAAAATGCATCAAGAGACTCATGCAATGTATTTACTAGCCTTGAATTGAGCGGATAAAGTTCTCTAAATATATTTTAGCAAGTTTATTCTGTCAACTTACAATTAGTATAGGTAAAATAAATTTCAGCACCTAAAAAAAAATTTAACCTGTAAAGAGTACACGCTTATATATAAATATACGTGTATACATGATATCTGAAAAAAAAAAAATTACAAAAATACTAATATATTATAATGATAATTTTTTTAATCTTTTAATAATATATTATATTATAAATAAAGTTGTATATATACATGTATATATACCATAATCCTCTCTGCAAAGAGGCTACATGAAATCTAGGATTCTTTTCTACATATAGAATCATTGTTTAAAGTATGTAGTTTGCGAAAAATAAATCTAGAGTATTAGTAATGTCTAAAGTATAGTATTTCGCGTGATATAATTAACATATCGATAATATAGTTATGATTTTGCAATTGACGATCAAGTTTCTACAACTTGAATTGGGTTAGCATTTCGATTAGAGGATGTTTGCAATATATGCATAATGCAATAACACGTGGCATGTGTCGCGTGATAATTCGATTGTCAATTTACCAAAGCTTGCATCTTTATATATAGAAGATGGAGTAATATATAATTGTAAATGCAAACAAGATAATTAACATGCAATAAGACTTGATTATTATCAATGAAAATTTTTTACGTACGAGTTTTATGTACAAAGTTTTATGAAAGATCTTTGCATTATACGTGATGCATTTATGTCGGTATTCGTAAGAACAAATTAAAAGGCCGAACATTGAAGCAATATATGATGAATTCTGTAATATTTTTAGATAGCGATAGGTGAAGGTCTACCTAGACGTTCTTAAAGGTGATCAAGAGCTGAACTGATCGACAGGTCGAACACCCGAGAGATCAATATCCAAGGTTATATAGTCGATTGCCTTCGTGAAATAATTCTCGGATTTAATTGGTACATATCTTTTTATATGTACAATGTTCTGCACGCAATAAGGGACTTGATTATTATAACGAAAAGTTTTATGTACGAGTTTTATGAATGAAATTTTATAAAAGATCTTTGTACCATGTACGATGGATTTATATCGGTATTCGAAATCGTTAAAAAGCCGAACGTTGAAGTAACACATGGTTAAGTCCGTATTTTTAGATAGAGGTGGGTGAAAGTTCATCGAGAAGATTTTAAAGGTGATCAAGAGCCGAACTGATAGACAGGTCTAACACTCAAGAGATCAATATCCAAGGCTACGTAATCGATTACCTTCGAGAAATAATTTTTGGATTTAGCTGGTACATATCTTTTTATATGATATTTTGCACACGATATTATATAATTATTGTTGAGCTACTAAATAAAAATTTGCAAACCATGCAATATCGCAATATAATCGTTTTAGTATGATAATTGATTTCTTAATTGCATGGATGTCAAAAACATCTTATATAATCGAATTGCACATATATTTTATATTCATCTCGAATTAATCGACTTCCTTTGTGACAAAAGTAAAAAAGTTCGAAAGAATCGAACGAAACAAATATGATACAACGCTCGTCTATTGCACTTAGTTTTTTTTTGTTAAATCGAACATGGTTTACTATTTATTCAGTCATTTTTACATTTATGCGTCAGTAGAGTTTTCTTGACATCTGATTGTTACAATGATATTATAAAAAAAATATTTAATTTATTTTGCCGGAAATATTTTTTTATGAATTGAAGTTATATGATAATATTTATCTGCTCGTTTTGTTTCTAGAGACTAAAGACTTTGTGAAAAAAGTTCTTTTTTTTTTTCTATGCTATACCTTATATAATGAAATGATCAGTCTTTGATGATAATCGCGGTTTTCCAAGGTCGCGACTGTTAATAGAAATTGTGGTCAGTTAACAAAGACGGTATGCGCTTCAAGGATAATTTTAATTGTACGCTGATCTCGAATCATCATCAGCTCTGCTTCGCTTATGAATGACCACACTAAACCGCCGTCGAATCTTAATCAATGGCTGTCGCGTAGAACAATATCTAATCTAGGCGCGCGTGCAGACTTTGTTGCAATTTAATTTTGTAGCAATACTGTATCAGAAATATTCTCTTTCACATTGGTTCTGTTCCATCGCGATGGTGTAAAATTGTAATTTATTTTTATGTAATCCTTTTTGTAATCTTTTGTCTTATTTAAAATATATTGTATTCCATTTGTACACGCGCGCGCGCATACAAATATCCTTCCAAATACAAAACCCATCGCTTTAACACGCGTCCATTTTCGAATGAAAAAATAGAAATATGAAACCCTATTTTTGAAATATGAGAAAATAATAATTTTTTTTTTTTTTAATATGTGAAAACCATGACAAGTGTGCAGTTGCAACAAGGCAATCAAATATATATGTCATTGTGGCGAAGTATCAATAATTATTTTTTTTATATATTATATATTATTTTATATATTATATATTTATAATTATACTTGTTAATTAAATACTGATTTTTTTCTTGTAAAAAGATGTTCTTGTATATCGATAAGCAATATCACGAAATATCGACTCGAATCTCTTTCATCATTTTCACGGTCCTTCTTTCTCACACGAATAAGATATTTTGTCGATTTATAAGCAACACTTTCGCGCGGTTACACCTAGTCACTTTTATTTCACCGGCGACCGAGGTCTTTCTTGGTACAAAAGAGTGGGAGAAGACGAGCATATGTGCGACAGTATTCAACCCCTCTTCTCGGCCTCCCTATTGGCAAGGTGGCTCCAGGTGACTTCGTCGTTCGTGCCGCGATCACTCGTTAAGCTCGCCTTCGAATAGCTGGGCAATTCGCGAAACACTCGATATAACTCGTGCGATTCTCTTGACCGATCCAGGTCCTGCGCGACGACTAGTTACGATTCCATTCTTTTTTTGAGAGAGCGTTTCCAGCGAATTTTCCGGCTTCCAGAGTTTTAGTGAATATTTTCGATGGCAATCACACAAGCACGAACATGATCCACAATTAATCTTGCCACCCCGTCTTATCAGTCTCATTTGAAAAACGCCAACGATATCACGATATAAAAAATTAAACTGTGCGATTCATATTCCTGTGCGTGTAATACTTTTCGATCTGGCAATCTTGTTGGAGGGGAGAAATGGAAACGGTTGTGAGAATTTGGATTCTCAGTCTGATCGGTCTGTCACAGGCAGACAAATCAGTCAACATCCTAACGCCTTCAGGCAGTCTCAGCACCTTCGAAGAGGAGAACATACTACACGTGCTTTCGCGCAACAAGACTGATACGACGAAAAACGTCACTTTCGACAAATTAATCAGCAGTATTAGCAATTATACAATCGACGCCGAAAAGGATATATGGAGCGATGGCAAAGTGGAAATGCAACACACGAATCCACATTACGGTGAGTCCGAAATACTATACTTTCACATAAAAAATGAAAAATACAATATCTCTATTATAATAACTCGTAACAAAAAAAAGTGAAGTTTAATTTCGTATTATTGTTAGAAAACTAACAATTTTTATTACTTAGGGAATAATATCTATATATATTATATAAAGATAGAGAATTACATTTTATAAATATTAACAAAGAAAAGCTAAGTTAAAAATTGTCTAGTGATATATTGTTATTCTTTTGTCTATTAACTAATTAATATTAATATCCGTAATTGCTAGACTATTTACGCGAATATTTCAAAGACAAATTACAACGTAGGAAATCGAAACGTACTCGTGTTAAACGAATAAATAAATGACTTCTCACTAAGTGGCATATTTTCAGCCAAACGAATCGTGCTCAAATGGTGAATAGGTAAATAATATCAGACTCGTTGGCAGATACATCGACAAGTTGCATTGTACTACGAAAGATTCATATATAGAATTTCCGCATTCGCAGTTCATGTCACCATTTATTCCACGAAGTGCATCAACTTCATCTTTTAAACATCAATTGTTAATTGTAAAATCCATTCACAACAGATCGAAATTTGCACATTTTCGCATTATTAATCGTAATCAACAAAAATACTATTAACCTTTGATCAACTATGAATAGAGTAAATGCAGCTTCCTTAGCTCTCGGCATCTCATTACTAAGAGACTTCGACGATCGATAAAATTAGCGGAAATGATATCGAAATTCTTTAGAAAAATAAAATAAATAGAAATAATCTGCAGATGCTGCTTTAGTCCGCGAATTATAAAATGTATGACTCCTGTTTTGTCGAAGGCCGTATGCATTTATTCAAATCGCGTATAGCACGAATGCCTATTACATTGATTGACAGATGTATTTTAAAATAGAGTATCAGGGCCCTCTTCCCTCGTTTCTAACGAATGTATAAATAACTTGATTAATGAGAAACTAATACCGTATATCGCGAGAAGTCATTTTTTTTATTTGTTTAACTTAAGTACGTTTCAATTTCCTATGTTGCAATTCATTTTCAAAATACCGCATAAATAGTTTAACAATTAATGTTAATATTAATTAATCAAAAAGACTGTCGCATAATTAAAATTCCTAAAAAAAATAATCTTTTCGTCTTGTTTTAAACTGAGTTAAAATTGTGATGGCAAATATTTATTAGCAGACAAAGCGAAAATTGGCATCGATATTTTTTATCAAAAACCGATATGATTTTTATTATATTTTTATAATTATATATATATCTATATTTGATTATATATAGATTTTTCCCCGGGATTCTTTATAATGGAAGAAAAAGAATACTTTAACAAAGGATATTTTACCAAAGTCAGACATTAGCAAACAAAAAAAATGCATGTGTCCGCAGAAAACACGCTGACCTTAATTGTGGCATTGATTAGAGGCACTTGCAATACTTCGATAAATATTGTCATATATATGTATATACATATATGCATATGTAGATTTACTCACATACCACTCACTTACTCACATACAAAGAGTTTTAACAAAAACTTTTGTTTGCGATTGTTAAAATATGCAAAATATTTTCAATGTTTTGACATACGCACGTTATGCGAAAGTAATTTTAATCATAATATTGTGTATATTATATGCCGACACATCGGTAAACGCAACTGTAACGGGCATACCGAAAGTGACTAAGTGTTAAACATTTCAATGTGTAGAAAATCGATTTATAAATACACTTTCGACATATTTTTAATGCAAGAGTCCCCGGCAAATTTAAAAAACATTAATTATATTAATATTTTCTCATTATTCATTACACTTGTTATACTACAGTCTAAATGTAATATAAAATAATATATAATAATCATATAAAATGTCTCTAATATAAAATATATAATATTAATTTATATCTAACATATTATCTTGAAACACAATGAGTTGAATCAAGATGTTCGTATAATCTACTGAGATGTTAAATAAAATCTCTACAAAGTATGTAATGAATCACATTATGCACAAAGTACATACAATTTAAAATCCCGGATGCTCGATGAATTTTATTGTATAAAATCAATTATATAAATCCATCCTTTGTAAGATGCTGTGAGAAATTTTTGCTCATTGAAATATATATAAGCGTACTAATATGCGAATTCG